AGGAAGCTGAAGGGGGGTAGCTCTCGAGACAGTGAGCCCAAGAACCCGGGGTAACTATCTGTGTCCGAGCTGTGCTGGTGCTCTGTGTTTGCCTCGCTGGGCCGTGCTGGTGGTGGGGTACTGCAGCTGCTGCAGGCCTCCTGGTGCTGTTGAGAGAAATCCAGTTTTGTATGTGATGTCATGTATGTATGTTATGCACATGTGCCTGTAATTGAACCGGTTTCACGAAAAGCTAAAGAAACGTAAGTTTTGGGAGTGTTCCAGTGTTGTCCAGCAGATGTACGAGGGCCTGAAAGCAGAGGTTTGAATAAGGCAGCTGGTACCCCATTCCAGGGTCAGGGTACTGTCGAAGAGTGCTCTGCACACTGCACGGCCATTTACTTTGGGCAGAAACAGCCCCTGCCAGGTCCTTGCTGGCTGCAGTCCAGTAACTTGCTCTCCGCTGTCAGCTTTCAGGACAGTGGGCCGCTGGCACTGGCCTGCCTTAACACCAAAACCACTTCCCCTGTGGCTCGTTATGCCAGCAGTCCAGTCACAGTGATCTGAGCAGCAGTTGCCACACAGCGATCCTGTTCACGGGTCCAGTTGGCATTGCAGGGGAGCCCTTCATTCCTTAGCTGAGACTCAGAGAGCCTTCGTTGCTCCTTAAAGACGTTCCAGCAAAGCCCTTGAAACAGCTGTGTCTGTTGTTTCTGCGCCAGGTCGTTCCTCTGTTCTGCTTCAGTATTCACACTGCAGCAGTCAAAGCGCAGCTGTTGAGGATGGGTGTCTGTGAGACAGGCAATGGATGTTGCTGTGTCCCCATAGTCTTCCCCCCTCCCCGGTAGGCCAGCTGGTCTCTGCTGACTGGGAATCTCCTGAAACACTTGAAGCATCTGAAACAGTTGCTTGTAGTGTCTATGTGCCCTGTGCGAAACACATTGTATTACTGACTCCAGCTTTATTAGTCTAGCTACGTAAATCCTTTGAAATTCTTAAAGTCGCCAAAGTGCTAGGAATGGTGTTGAAAACCTGATTTTGAAAATGATGCATGTCATGATATTCAGGCATGCATGTTATCCTTGAGTGAACAAGGTTGTTACAATGAGAGATCTTCAGCCTGCAAAACCTTATTAAAGAAATATTTTATTTAGCTGTGCCGCAGGGGTAGTATTTTCTTCTAGTGGCCGAACACTTATATCCGTGTTACAGACACTATTCATAGTTTAAGAAAGGGATGAGTGAGTCATCTTTGTCGAAAGAAATAAGATGCATTTAGCTCCTGCCCAGCAACTCCAATAACCTCTGCTTCCCAGGATGCCTTACATGAAAACTACTAGGAGCTTAGGGCTCATACAGTGCCCTGCCTCTGTCAGATAGCCAGTGAACAGTGACAGCTGGGCAGTGTCCTCACAGAGCTTTCATTTTCAGGTGAATTGGGCTGTGGTGTATTCACTCTTGGCAGTTCAATTTATGAGAGTTGCACCAGTTTTCTTAACTGATTCACCAGTAAATTCAGATTTCCTCAACACCCTCGTTTCTCCAGTCCTCTCCTCGGCCTTGACTGAATGTTCTGAAGTTGCACTGTGAAATTTCACAAGCTTTCTCTGAACCCCCGAAAAACATGTTAGCGTTGACGGTCATGAACAAAACTATTTTACCTTTAACAGATGGAAGTGGGAATACCAGACTGACTTTAAAAAACACATACCAATATAAATGAAAAGAAATGCCCTTCTGGTTCCAACTGGGTTTTGTCGCCATTCTGCGGAGACATCTGTGTGTTCCCGTTGTGTGGGCTGTTGTGGTTGGTTGGCTTGCTGTGAGGCTGCCGAGAGTGTTGGATTAAGGGAGAATATCAGAGCAAACCTTCTTGCCAGAGGCCTGCTACAGTTCGGACTGTGCACAGAGCTTCCTTAAAATCTCCTGCATTTGTTAAAAAGGCAAGCAAGGATTTTAATTTTTTTATTAACTAACAAGATATATGCATAATCTTCAGATTGGACGGTTAGAAGGTTAAATGTTTCGTACTGTACCAAATTCTTAGTTGGGACAACTTTCTTAAATTTTCATTGGACCTCAGACACCCTTAAAACTACCCTGCTTTCCAGCACCTTATGAGCAAGTCAACTAGTATTCTGTGTTTCAGTGCCTTGTGTGGCATTGTTTTCCCCGTTTTAAGTAGTTTTTATTATCATTTTGATATTCTTTATTTTACCACCTTCTGGATTGTGTTGAATTTGTCTGCATGAACATCCTTTTGTTTTAATGTCCTCATGCTGTACTCCTGACTGTACCTGTCTGACATGAATAAATACCTTTAAACAGTCTGTTGGCCAGTAGTGCATGCCTCGTCACTGTCCTTCCAGCTCTTTCACCATCCCTCCTAGGTGGCTGAAATCTTGTGCTGCTTTCGCTCAGATATGCTGGATCATTTCAGCACATATCCTCTCCATCTCCTTCCAGACGTTCACTGCCATTATTTTTAATTCCATTTAGATTGCATCTGCATACATCATCTCACTAGATTAACTCATCCTCCTGAATTTAACTAATGAGTCCGACGTGACACACAGAAATCCTTGCAGCTGCTTGGGGCAATAGTTCTAGTGCTTTTTTTATTTACAGAACCAAGCTTCACTCTTGCCAGTGCCCCCTAGATTCGGTGAAGTTCAAGCTCAGATGAACTGAGATCATTGGAAAGAAAACCGGAAAACGTCTTTATTTGAGTCAGAGTGTCTGAGCAGTCTGGGAAAAGGCAGAGTGCATTTACTGTAGTTGCAATGCTATTCAAGGTCTGTGTAGCAATATATGACCGACCTGACATCTCCCTTTTCCTGGGGAACTCACCCTCCATGGCTACCCTGTGCACCAGTGGTGGGAGATGGCTGAGAGTGGATACAGACAGTGGTGGGGCCTGCTAAATAAAAAACAGGTCTGAGTGCAGAATGCTGTGCCACTGTTCTGTCCCCTTCCGTTTTGAAGGAGAGAATCCCAGCAAAGGAAAAGCCCAGTTTGATACTCAAGAGCTGGAGGTGAATGGCAGAGGGCTCCTGTTGGGGTTGTTTTTTTGACATATGGGGTCAGGGAGGCAAGGAATATAGTGTCCTGTGCAGACAGGAGGTGAACAGAAGAGGACAGTGACAGGGCCCTGGCATTAACCACCTGATGCATTTAAGATCAGACTAACCCACTCAGGGTGTCTGGGATGAGGTCTGCGTGATTCCCTGGCCTGAGGTTGTTTAACATTCTGAGATTCTCCTAACCTGCTGCCGAACCTTTCTTTAACATTCTGAGGATCCGTTTAACAAGCTCCGGTTCTGTTTAACAGATTGTGTTTTGCATCTCTTTGTAAAGTGGAGGAAGTCTCCTCTAAAACGTTTTTTTTTTCTTTATTCTTTATGAGATGTGATGGACGTAGTTCATTTAAAAGATTGTTTTTCAGTCAGTTATGAAAATGGCAAATTTAGACTACCTTGCTGCTTTAAAGCGTGATGAACATGTTAAATAGAAAGGTTTCTCAGGAGAGAATAGAATTGAGTCACAGAATTGAGCGCCCACCCTGTAGGGGCTCTGTCTTTCAAAAGGTTTTCAGGAGAGGAGAGAAAGCCAAATCCTGACTTCTTAGTAGAAGGATGAGGTCAACATGGAAACCACAGAAAAAAAAAATAATACGAACCCTGGATACTGAGGCTCAGGCTTGTTGCGAACTGGAGGCTATGGGGAACTCCACTGGTGCTGCCTGGTTTGCCCCTGCCATAAGTGAGGATGGGAAAGTTGTCAGAGTGGAGGTGCTTCCTGCCCTGATTCCTCCGCCTAATGCTACGCTTCTCTCTATGGGGACAGTATTTCCCTGAGAGCCTGTGCTGAGGTCGCCTGAGCCGAGTCCTGCCTTCTTGTTGCCGCTGGTGACCGTTCACTGATGAGCCAGTGCAGCACCAGGAGATCCGAGTGCAGTTCTGGAACGCAGTGATGATCTCCAGTCTGTTTGAGGCATTCCAAACCGAGAGATTCCGATGCTACCTAACCTGATTCTGTGAACCGTAATCACCCTTTCTGAATGATGATGTTGAATGATAGGTTTTTGACGCTGAACTCTTGGACCTCAGACTCGCTCGCTGCCAAGAGTCTCTCCCACAGCCAGTGTGTCACCTTAACGGGTCACAGGTGCAGGGTGGGGGGTGTATAGGGGTTTGCCGAAGCCTGTTCACCTAGCAGTAATGTGCTTCGTTGCATTCAATGCATTAACTGGTAGTCTTAAACTAGAACTGTAACATGACCGGCAGAGGGGTTTTTTGAAAGGAACCTTTAACACCATTTTCACTTCTACTTGGGTTGGGCCGGGCCGTAGTAACACATTACTAACCTGTCTTGTAACGCAGCTAACACTGAATTCCTGTAATTGCTCACATTAGTAACCTCCTTTTCACGGCGCTGAACTCTGAGCTCTGACTTGTGTTCAATTTGGAATGCCCCGGCACCAAACACCTCATATTATGGTGAACAATTAAAACAAAAAACATGTTTTCTATATTTTACTAGAGCTTTACTACACTTAAGGAGTTTACTAATGTGCGTAGGACCGTGGGAAGAGCGTGTTGCAACAGTGGATCACAGCTGGGAACCCAAACCGAAAGACTATCCCAGTCTAAGCCTCAGAACTATTCTGAACGTATCGCACATACGTAGTTATTGACTTCCAACGAGGCCAAAAAACGCCGCCATAACTCCTTCAAAGACGGTTCACAACGTGCTGCAACAACACGCGTCGTCCTTTACAACCGCTTGTGGGCTCGGCCGGAAGCTGAGAGCAGAACTCCAGGTGAAATGAGGGAGGACAGGAATTTCCTCGCCGGTGCGGCTCAGTAACAGGGAGTCCTGGTACTGTATGTTCGTGGGCGGCGTGGATTTTCTGCACGTTGTTCTATTGCGTTGCGCACTGTTCGTGACGGAGTTATGACGGTGATCCCCCCCAACTCGTGCGAGCGAAGCGTAACCTTGACGAGGAGGGAGACCCCGCTAGCCAATCCCCTGGGCTCGAGCTGTGCACCACTGTTCTCTGCTCGATGCCCGTGGCGCCTCCTGGCACTAACCTGCGCCCGGTGAGCGCCGTGCGGCTGTGTGGATCGCTGTCCTGCCGTTCTCACTGATTTGTCCTTGCATGTGACTGTCCTGGATGCAGCATGAAGCGTGCCAGCTCTCTGAGCGTACTTAACACGGCTGACAAGGCTGCTGGAGACCCCTTTCAAGTAAGGAGCTGAGATTTTCCTGTTTTTATACAGCGGGGGTGGGGGGGAAGCCCAGCCAGAGCACACAACTGATACACACGCATGACTACAACAATCAAAACCTGGGACTTTACATGCGCAAAACCTATCATTCTCTTGCCTAGCTAATTAAGTACAATTAAGGATATAACAAAGTTGCCATGCATGATTGTGGGTTCTCATCCTTTTTAAGGAAAATGGAAATCTTAAATGCAGTTTAAGTAATACAAAAATATAACAATTTGCAGAAAAACATGCACACGAGGGGTATTGTTGGATTACATGGGCAGCAAAAGTTACGGAAAGATGTGCACCGGTTAGGACTTTGAATCGATCTTAGGTTCTACTGTACAGCTGTAGTGCTTTAATATGTATCAGTTGTATTGAACACAATAGTGGGACGGTGATGTAGCTGTGTTTCCACATTGCCAAAACCCTTATCAAAGACAAGCAGCTTAATAACAATGGATGCAGGAGATTCATTGCAATTTGTATTTACATTTCTAAGATTAATATAATTGTATTAAAAATACTTTTCTTTATTACAAAGGGCCTTTACATGAGGCTGTGTAAAGCAGATAAGAACTCAGGATTCATGCGCAATGCCTTTGTTTTTTTTTCTCCATGATGTACAGTCCACTGTCAAGTCATTTAATTCCTTTGTATGGGATACAGCTCACCCACAGTTCCAATACCCTTGTAATTTACAAACTAACCGTGTCTAACTGTCCTTTAAAGTTTTACTAATTAATGTGGCTACATGCTTACTTATAACCTCAAGCATATTAAATGTCTTGTTGTCAAATTGCCTGGTTAGGCTTGTTCAGTTATTCTGGCCTTTAATACAACCCAGTAGCATAGAGCCTCAAGTATGTTTTCTCTGAAAATAAAAAAGAAATAAGAAGCTCTTCTTACTTCAGTGAATTATAATTAACTATAATTTCTAATCTGTTTTCATGGTGTTTTACATATTAAATTATACATTTCAAAATAGTTTTAAAAAGACGTGATTATAGGACAATCTGGCTGCCTGTGGTGTGATTGAATGCGAAATCGAATGCGACAGCGAGAGCCCGCGCGTATGCAAAATCAGTACATGCAGTTACACAAGATGTCCAGAAGATGCCGCTGTTTGTCTACATAAGGACATTTGCCAATCAGAACTCCTAAATAAAAGTTTGGCCAATCAAAACCAGTACTGCCCGGTCCACCTGTTAACACATTGGACTGGTGTCCTTTTAGATCTGCTGGAAATTAGATTACACTGACTGGATTGTAGTTTCTTTTTAAATAAGTCTTAAAAATAGAAAAAAAAAGTTTTAATGCTAAAGTAATTACAGTATGTTTGACAAAAATAAAATAATTTCGAACAAGATATTTTAATTATTTACAGAGTGAGACTGACAAAGATCTCTGCTTTAATTATGCTAACCCTGCCCCTCTTATTCTAACAGAAATCAAATTTCTGCAAGATGAGGCCTGCTTTAAAAGAGGTTTGCACATTATTGTCAGAAATGCAGACTCAGAATGGTAAAAGGGTATCTATTTCTATGTTTTCTTTATACTTTGACATTGCAGCTAAACAGTTCTGGTGTCTCCTTTTCACACGCTTATGCTATGAGTTACAATGAGCAAGAAAATGCAACTTAAGAGCTAGGTTTTCAAAGCTGATATCCCAGACTCTGCCAACAATAACTGCAGAATGAAAAGTTTTATATCTTTAGAGCAGTAGAAGGAAGTGGCTGAATAAAGAGGCTGCCCTGTCACTGATATGCCACTCTATCCTGTTGTTCATCCTGGATTCTCCCTGTTAGGAAGTGCCTGGTGCTGAGGTTTCCTGCGACTCTATTACCCAGTCATTCCTAGAGGAAATATGAAACCATGTTGGAGTGCACTGTTTAGCTGGTCAACGTGACAATACATTTGGTGACTGATCTCTTGGCTCCTGTAAGACGAAGCTCACTTTGTTTTGCTTCATGTTCTCAAACTTTAAACGAAAATCTTTCAAAAACCTATGCGTTTGTGTGTTCGGCTCAACAGGAACGAAATAATAGTCTGAAGAAAGGTCGCGACCTGAGTGCCAGTCAAACCGACCTGGCGCACTGACGGGCCTGCAGGATGCCCCAAGGACTGGCAAACAGGAGGGGGAGTTGGATGATGGGAAGACTGGAGGTTATCGTGCAGCAGAACCCAGAACCAGTCCTGGAGCCTCTCCTACTGAGCTGACCCACTTCACCGACCATCAGGACTTCCTCTCTTCCCCACCAGACCCGCTAGAAAAACTCTGCACTCAAACTGACCGGTGCAATTGTCCTTCAGTGCAATCCTTTTTTTGATCCAAATTGCTTTTATCAAGAATTGTGTTGCTGGTTTCAAGGAAGCAGCAGCGGTATTGCTCGTGGCCCAGCGTCGTGGCTCGTCTCGACTGCACGTGGGTTTTTCAAGAGCCAGGTGTCTACGTGTCTGCCTGGCTCAGGAGCTGCTCTTGGCCGGCCTGTGCTGTTCTGCGGAGCCGTGAGGGGGATTGCTCTGGTTGGTGTCTCTTTGCACACACGCCTGCCTGTTTGTGATCCCACATAGAGGCGTCCTCCTGCGACGGGCACTGACATTTCAGGACAGAGCGAATGTCCCCTGCTGCTCTCCCCAGCCCTCCGAACTCTTTGAGCCTTTGTTGCCTCCTGTCCCCAGTGTTTTCAGACTGTACCTAGTTAGACGGTATGTGATTTAATTTCTGGAGAGCTGTTTTTGTTTTATGCCATAGGGAATAGTTAAAGTTTGTGTTGGGTGTTACAACAGATCAGACGAACACTTTTAGTTTATAACCTTTTTGGAGCTTGTGCAGCCTTAGAGGGAGGTCCCATGCTGTTCCCAGCTGGAACCCTGCCCGCTGTACAGAACAGGGATGTTGCACCGGGTGTTTTGCTTGTGTGCGATTTAGCATGAGGGCTCTGTGTCCGAGGCAGAGGAGGAATTGTGCAGCATCAAAACACCTCAAGGTATCTCAACCCTGCGTGTGCTTCTCAGGATTTTCAAATACTAAGGCTACAAAAAAAATACAAATACAATACAAAAAGAATATTAAAAATATGTTTTTTTATTTATTGTTAACACACATTAATCTTTGTTTGGAAGAGGAATGTAGGATGCTGGTTTTCCAGGCTTGCATTCACCGGGATTTGAATATATCCTTAGGAATGATGTGTGCAGCCAATACATACGGATGAATGGGTTCTTGTTAAAGACAAACTTAGCAACTATTACATTTAGATGCTATAACCTTCAGAAGTACACTTATTACACTTACTTTATATTAGATTGCACATGCCTTAATACCAGATACTACAATACTAGAATATACTAAGTCATTAACTTAAAACCTAGGTTATTGATGTTGAACACACCATATGTAGACGTATGAATTAGTTACATCAATATGTTGATGTGCTCATAGAGAAACACCTCGAACACTAAAGGTTCTGGATGTCATTTCTGTCGTCTTCAGGGTTTGTCTCCATGGCTTCAATATTCCTTCAATGTGATTATTCAACATTCTTAGGCTGTTCACAAGGATATCTTCCATGTGGAGTGTTCCTATAACTTGGAGAAAGAATGTTTTTTTCCCCCTGAAAACAGTTTTTGTTATAATAAGTACCTTTTTCTCGAAAGGCATTATGATGAAGACCGCATGTAGTCTTTCAGCGCCTAACGATTTTCTTTCAACAGTTTAAAAAAAAACCATACCATCTGCTGATGGTAGAATCGTTTTCCGCAAAGCGTAGCACAACAGAGTACAACCAGTACTGTGTGTCACTGTTTCTCTTTCAGTGCCTCTGTGGATTCAGGCGACTGGCCCTCTCCTCTAGGTACTGAAGAACACTCAGTTACTCAGGCTGAGCTCAGGCCTTGACGATCTGTTGCCCTTGCCTAAAAGGCATATTTTTGCCTCTTTTACCATTTGCAAGCTGCCTCTATCCTTTATGGCCCTGTTAGAGTGATAAATCCGGAGTCATGACAACAGGGCGTTGATTGTATTTACATTTTTTGCTGCTCTAGGCACGTTCTGTGCAAATGACTTCAATCTTTACTGCCTTCTGCTGGACAGTTTCTGGGTGTGCGTTCTTTCTATGTTTTTGTGCAAATGACCGTGATGCCTCAAGGCCACAATGCAAAATAGTAAAATGTAGGATCCTATATGATGTAATGATTGTTGTATCTCCACCAGCTCACTGAACCAAGCCTGGTTCATATCTTAAATAGAGTGGCCTTCTATGCACCGTCTTTATACTTAACAATACTGCCTAACACCAGAGTAACTTACATTAAAAAAAAAAACGAGCTCAGAGTGCCACACACTGTGCAGGGAAATCCCAGAGATTGTTGGGACTATGGAGGTGGAAAAGGGAGCCTGGAAGTCGGCTTTTGATAAATATGGTCTTTGAGCAGTTCTGCTTGCACTGCGGGTTTTCAAGCCCGGGCTGGTTGCGGGTCTTTATGACCATCGAGACAAAGACACAGGTGTAACCCGCTGTGGGAAGATGTGACTAGTGAGAGGACTGCTGGCACAGCTGGAACTAGAGACTCGGGGTCTTCGGAGGGAGCGATCTTTTTATTCATTGAACAGTGGCAGCGCAGAGCAGGGTGAATGCCAGATAGATGGAGGACACACAATCAAAAACAGAGAACAGTCCCTCTGCCTTGGACTCCTCCTTCCTTTATTCTTCCCACATTGTGCCTGAAGAGATTCGACTTTCTAGACACTTGATTTAAAAAAAAAAAAAACTCTCCATATGAACTTTGGCAGCAGATGCACTTTTACCTTCAGAAAGAAGCCTGCACACAGACTAGGGACATTGAGAAATATTGTAGGGCTAATGAAACCTCAGGTTGCTGCCTGGCGAAAAATAACAGTAATGTATTTGTATCGACTTAAACCTAATGGGCTAGCAGCGTATTCCAAACATTCTGGAATCTGTCCCATTCAGACATTCCCGGTCCTTTTACTGTCAGGTGACAGCAACACAGTACTAGAAACCACAGAGGTTTATTGAAATGTGATACCTTCTCATTGTATCCAGTTCTGCAACCGACAGCTTCTGCAAGACAGGCAGTCCTGGTGCACATTAGTGTCCAGTAATATCTGTCAAAAAACAAAAGCCCCACACGCTATAGTGACTGACAGAAGATTTACCTTCTGTAACTGAAGGTCGGCTTTGAATTAAAAGTGAAGAAAAGAAGAATTTAGTTGCAAACTATTAAGTACTAAATATTCTGTTCAGGATATGAGTTTTCCCGGTATAGGGAGGCCTTGGGATTAACACATTGGCAGAATGACCTTTGATCTTTCAAGCGTGACAGTACCTGAAGTAGTGACTATTTCAAAATAACCTGTATTCAGTGAAAAATAAAAAGAGAAAGCTTTGTCCCCCCACTCCCCACCCCCATCTCTCTTAGTGGATGCTGTTCTGTATTGCTGAGCTTTGATTCATAGTGTGCATTTGCTGTATTCCTTTCCCATTTGCCCTTGTATGTGCTGCTGTGAGAACAAAGCAGGGGTCAAGAGGAAGAGACCACCTGCAATCAGCCGTGTGCACACTGCAGTCTCCCTATGGGCTGGTCAGCTTTGTCTGCTGGCTGCATCGTTTTACTGTGGTGACTTTTGTGTTGCAGATGTATGTCATATTGAGAAAAGACTAAATACATTACTTTAAATGCTGGGTTGTGTGCTTTATATATATATATGCCTTTTTCCCAACACTGTGCGATTCAGTTTCTAGGATGAAGGTTGAAACAAAGTTTGCACGCTTGTGGTGTTGATGAGGCTTCTCTGAGCTCCAGGGAAGCATGGAGTGCAGCATGTTGGTGTGGAAAAGTGGGTGAGGAGAATCTAGCGAGTGCGTGTTCCACTGATGGCGTGGGAGTTAGGCATAGGAGCAGGCCTGTATACAAAGGCATTTGCAAATGCTGTTCAAGTAGTTTCAAGACTGTACTCACCCCTTGAGACCAGCTTATTACAGCCCTGCCAATCTGTCCAACCTTCAGCTTGGTCCAACGCACCTGTTCACGTTGAAAAGATCGCGTAGCGGCGAGTCAAGTAGAGAATGGGGTGGAATGTTTGCTAAGTGGCATCAGGTGACCTCCAGGTCTCGCCTTAATAAACAGGAAGTCTTAAACATCTGTCTGAACATCATTTGCAAATGCATTTGAGTATCATCTACTCCCGCTGGAATCTCTCCAAACACCTATGGTTCAGTAGACAAATAGTCACTTGTTCTCTTGCAGCTCTTGCGATGTGTAAGAGAAAAGAAATTGCAGGTATCAGGTCAGACTTGAGCTGATCTGTGTGGTTTTGCAAGATCCCAGTCCCACTTCTTAAAATAATTTATTTGCATAATGTATTCAACTCAATTTTTAGTTCATTATTGTAAAGTCTCATGTCCTCGCAAATCCTGCGCTACTGAAACGTGAACCACAGGCGGCAGTTTCAGAAATAAAAGCCATCGACCCTCCGGAGGGGTTGCGCAGAAGGAGGGTTTAGGTGTCCTTGTTCACGTCGGTGGTGCAGTTTGCTGGCTCTGTCCCGGGGATGTGAGGTGCTGAAGCAGACTGCGTTGGCACAGCGATTCCTCTCACCCCCTCCTTGCCCACGCTGCAGATGCAGTAAGCCTGGGGCAGGTGTGGTGCAAACACCACCTCCAGTCGCCTGGATACCAAGCTACTGCCCTCTGCCCTTACAGCATCCCACCCTGACAGTGGGCTCATCATCAGCCTCACAAGCACCTGGTTTGCCCACGTGATGCCCAGAGCTGGCAGCACCCTACGATCCACCAGCCTGGGGGGGGACAGGAAAGTCCTTTTAATCACAGATGTAAAAAAACAAACAAACCAGAACACTCATTTTCCAGCTGTGCTACAAATTTATAATATGTCTAAGATAAAAAGCCTTGCTAATGAAACAAAAGGTAAACTGGAATATTGCAGGTTTTTCTTCCTGCCCCCGAGACATGATCTATATTTACAATTTAAATTGCATTCAGATTAAGAATGGGTGGAACATGTTTAGCACAAAGTTAAAAAAACATGTTACATTTACCTTCTCTAATGGGCAATAAATGCCCAATTTAATGAATGCCACCTCTTGTTCATCCCTTATTAAAGTGCAGATTAATAGGAACTGTTCTGCACTTACCCAAAATTACACCGCGCCGAATCAGAGTCGCCCACAACGTCCGTCACCTGGGAGCCCACAGCACAGCCCACGGGGAAGAGGGACAGGGGGGGAGAACAGATCACTCGCAACAGCCTTTCAGGAACGTCAACCTGCTTTTATCAGCTAAACACTGGAAAAGGGTTTTAAAGGATATAAAAAATAAGAGCCTGGGTCCGACTTTTATTCTAAGAAACACAACATGCTTTTGAAAATACAACTCCTTAATAAAGAGACAGATTTCAACAAACACGACTTGCACAAGGAGAGGTGAAAGATCCAAAACATAAAGCGCGGCCTCAGATACACCCCAGGAGTGAAGCCGTGTCTGTAGGTAGCGTGGACGCTCATATTGGATTGGCGGATTTTCCTGTAAATTGCTTCAGCAGTTGATCTGTGGGAGTCTGAGATGGCCTCTTCTCAGGTTATTTCTGCTAACCTGGCAAGTGTCCTGACCCTAACAGCCATTTTACAGGGACAACCCAGGGCTGCAACCCCACTACAACTGAACAAGGATAAGAGTGAAGTGACAACGAAACAGCAAGGCAGAGGTGCAGAGGGAGCAGGGAGGTGTACTGGGAGATGCTGGGTGGTTACCTGGTTGACGCAGATAACGGGGGTGCTGAAGGACTGGCTGAGACGGTGCAGACTCTGGGCAAAGGCGAGCAGGTGCCTCGCTCTCTCCCGGGCCTCCTTGGCCTCGAATTCGCAGCGGAACAGAGCAGCGACAGAATCGACCACCACAAGCCTCACCATCCCCCGCAACAGCATGATGGGAACCCGGCGCGACACGCAGACCTGCAGCGCCTCCTACAGGGTGTCGTGAAAACAGCAGTATGTCTGCATCTTTAGAACCTTACCATTTATCACAGAATGACACACTTTTGACAATTACTATAGATGCCTAGAGTCAGTGCTATCATTTACTTCTCCTGTCCCTCTCCCAGCCCCCCCCCCCGCTCCTCAAAAACACTGCACACTTTAACCCTTCTCTCTCTGCAGCTGGGCTCTGCCGTCAGCAGCCTGTATCGAAGTTTAAAGAATGGCGCACACACGTAAGATGTGGCCCTCCCTTAAGAGCTGCGTGCCACCTACCAGGTCAGCTGCGTGCTCGATATAAATGTTGTTGCTGAACTGGATGCTGGTAACCAGGTTCGGAGGCAGCTCGGGCCTGAGCCTGGCCTGCAGGGAGATGAGCTGCTGCAGGCGCTTGGAGGGGAAGGCACTTTCTGTGCAGATATAGACAGCTCCTGCACATAAACCAGAACACACAGAGCCCCTGAGTCCCCAGCCTCTTCACACTGTCACGCTCCCTTCAGAGTTCTGCAGTGCAGCCTGCACTTACTAAAACCCCTCTCAGATGGAAAGGAGGCAGTCCAGAGAGCGCTGGGTGCAGGGACATGCCTTTTATTTTTTAAGAAGTTACTTTCAAGGACTGCAGGTGAAAATTCCCGAAAATAACGTGTTGGGGCTGATGCAAGAAACTACGTGCTGTGGGCATTTTTTTTTTCTACATGGGATGATGCTCATTATCTCTGACCTCCGAAAGAATAACAAAGGACCTGTGCATTGCTCAGAGAGAGAATGTTCTTACCATTTATCACCAATATAGAGGGCTGCCCTAAAGCAGCTAAGAAAGCAGGACTTCCTCTGCATAGCAGTTTTGATCAATTGCAGGTTTTAGGAGATGGGAACTTTAATATAAGTTAACATCAAGTACAGAGGATTTCAGGCCTGTGAGCTTGTTTTGAACAATCCACATAAAGAAATGTGTGAAGAAAAAAACAGCTTTTAAACAGCTTATAAACCTGCAAAATGGATAAAAGGGGTGTTCACTGGGAGTTGCACTGATTTCTCTGGGTGGCTCGGCTGCGTGCGTTGTGTCTGCACGTGCGGAAGACAAACTCACCCGAGCCCAGTCCACCGTGCTCCCTGGGGTACTGCACTGACAGGCACAGCTGCATGCAGAGCTGAGTCTTGCCTGCCCCACTCTCGCCAGCAATCTCGGTGATACCAGTCAGCGGGACGCCCCCCCTGAGCAGGGAGTCCAGCACTGGGCAGCCCAGAGAGAGCCTGTGGCTGGGCTCCAGAGAGGGGCACTCCCCCCGGAGCAGCTGCAACGCTGCAGACACACAGAGAAGGAGCAGGTGAAGGCAGTCGGAGACACATAACATCACTTTATCAGCCCTATACAATTTCTTGCACTAGGAATTTCGTCTTTTCGCAGACCCCAGCTTGCTCTCCATGAGACACAGACACACAGACAGGGGGAGAAGCTTGAGGTCAGAGCGCAGGGTCAGCCATTGTACAGCGCCCCTGGAGCAGTTGGGGTTAAGGGCCTTGCTAAGGGCGCCCAAAGGAGTAGGATTCCTCTGCCGGCTGCGGGATTTGAACCGGCAACCTTCCAGCCACAGGCGCAGATCCTGAGACACAGAGCAACCGACACAGTGCAGCCCTGGCGCCCAGCACAGAACAGTCTCGCAGCTCCTGCCCA